GGCATATGCCTTGATCAGGAATTGAACCATGACCTCCTGGTTCATGGGTCAACACTCAACCACTGAGCTATGCTGGCTGGACCAATGAATAATAGCTTTTTGGAGGTGTTCTTTTATAAATATAAATGCATATTTGCAGAACCAATACCTAGAAGTAGAATTGTGAGGTCAAAGGATATGTCATTTTGTTAACTAGAGTCAATCATTATTTGTAAATTTCATATTTATTAATTTTCCTACTTGGAGAAATTTATTCTTAATCTCAAAATTAGCACTCCCAGCACTTTCACAGCCATTTGTGGTATGGGCAGAGTGGTGAAAAATCTGAGTCACCTGATATGCACATTCCCAGCTTATGTGAATAAGCTGATGCTCTGCCTTCTTGTCTCAGCTTATAAAAAAGTGTCTTTTCTGTGGTCTATTTGTGCCACATTTTTCACAGTTTTGTGCTTTTTGTTGATGATTTTGCTGTTTAAAATGGCCCCAAACATAATGCTGAATTGCTGTCTAGTGTTCCTAAATGCAAGGAGGTTGTGTAGAAATGTATGGCTTGGCTCAGTGGTTAAGTGTTGACCATTTCAATTCCCAGTCAGGGCCCAAGTCAGGGGCATGCAGGAGGCAGCTGAACAATGTTTCTATCTTCTCTCCCTCTTCCTTCCTCTCTCTCTAAAAAATCAATAAAAACATATCTACAAAAAGAAAGAAAATGTGTGTGTGGGATAAGCTTCCCTCAGGCAATAGTTATAATGCTGTTGACCATGAGAACTAATTATAAGTTCTTTTCAAAATTAATGAACCAACAATACCATCTATCCAGAAAAAGGAAGAGGTAATCACTGATCTGTATATTGTTCCAGAAACTGATAAAGTAACCTTTATGGTGCATAATGGAAGCCATGGAGAAGTTGGAAATATAGTTCAATTTGTGGATTCATGAGAAGATGGCCAGTAAAAAGAGCATAGGGGCCAGCATTATTTTTTAAAATATATTTTATTGATTTTTTTACAGAGAGGAAAAGAGAAGGATAGAGAGTTAGAAACATCAATGAAAGAGAATCACCGGTCAGCTGCCTCCTGCACACCCCCACTGGGGATGTGCTCGCAACCAAGGTACATGCCCCTGATTGGAATCAAACCTGGAACCTTCCAGTCCGCAAGCCAACACTCTATCCACTGAGCCACTCTATCCACTGAGCCAAACCAGTTTCGGCTGGGGGCCAGCATTATTGAGGCTAAATCCAAAAAAAGTCATGGGCAGGTTTTCTAGGTTCAGGAAAATGTTAAACTCGTCTTGGCTGCTGTTTTATTATACAAGAATACTGCATATAGTTAATTACTTGTGAAAAACATATTAAATTAGACATCTTTAAACAGAAACCCACATTAAATAAAAGTTACTTACTGGTTGAAAATGTTGTAACTAGAGACTTGCAGGAACCTAAAGCTGTATTTTTCTCTTAAGAGTGATGGGTTCATATTTGCTAAATTATTGTTCATGCTGACCTTATAGGGCATAGCTACCACAAATACAAGAATGTATTTCCAAATGACCATATCTCACCATCATATGAGAGTGCCCGTTTCTTCATCACCCCTCCTCCCAAGTTGTTTTAACCCTTTCGATGTCTGATAACCTGATAGTTGAATAAAGGTATCTTTTGATTTTAGTTTGCAGTTTTTCTAGTAGGAGAACTCTTTTTGTGTTTGAGGGTCATTCATGTTTCCTTTCGTTTATATCTTTCTTACTTTATCTTTGGATATTTGTCTCATTGATTTGTAGCAGATCTTTATATATTAAGAAAATTAGTTCTTTTTCTTTGCTATGAATTGCAAATATTTCCCTATTTTGGCTCTTGACTTTTCCCCCTTATGATAAAGAAAATGCAGTAAACATTTTCTTAAAATTGTCAAATTCATTGATCTTGTCTTTTATGATCTCTGGATTTTATTATCGTTTTAAAAGCTTTTCTTTGGAGATATTTAAGAGTTGTATTTGTGTTTGATGTTTTGTGGTCCTTTGTCACTTGCACAGAATTTAATCTTCTTAATATGCAATGCTAATTATAAGTTCTTTTCAAGCTGAGTGAATTTCAGAGTAATAGTACAATGGGAGATTGCAGGTTTTGGAATCCATAAGTCCAGTTTGAATTCCAGTTTGTTTATGTACTAAAATGACATAAGTCATTTTTGTACTTTCTGTGACATCATGTCCAGGCTTTGCTGAGTTCTACAAAAGACAGTGCCAACATAGGATAGATTTGGAATGTTAGTTCCTCCCTCTCCTGCTTCCCTGAAATCCTCCACCGAGAAATAATTTGTCATATTAATTTGAGACATGCACTAAAATAAATAAAATAGAGTTTCTTTTCAAAAGCATCCTATAATTTAAATTGTAGACAATTCCTGCTGAGTTTTTCAAGCTAGCTTGAACTGGTTATATTCTGAACAGATCATTATCTACTGATTTGAATTGTTAGTATTAAAAATATCGTAGTACAATGCACCCCTTTTTAGAGGGATTTGTGAAAAGAGTGAAGACTGAATTTCTAGACATTGAATAACTTTCTTTTAACTTTGTATTTATAGATACATTTGCATTGTCATTACTCTAGGGAAACTCAGTAAGACTTGAGTGCCTTTGCTTCCTTAGGCAATTAGAATATGCAAGATCTTGCTCTGGACTTGAAGATTTTTGAAGTTCAAAGGAGATGTGTGAGGAAGAAAAAACATCTGGTGAGGAGTGCGTGCTTCATTGCATGACACTGTTTTCCTGTGCTCTTTCACAGAGCGTCTGTTTAGCAGGTTGGCAGGTTTGGTAATTAATTGATGATGAGGGAATAAGCCACATATCTGAGGAACTCAGTCTTGTCCCTAAGCTTCTTTCCTCCCCACATGTCTGGCAAAGCGTCAGTCCAGGATCACTGATCCCACAGTTGTGTCTCAACTCAAACACTTGTCTTCAGGCTTAATTAGCTCAGGGACATAAACAGATGGATGGCCTGCGACCCAGAGGGTTGAGTGTTGAGCAATGCAGTTTTATTATCAGGGACTTTTGAAATTTTCGTTGGATAAGTGCCTCAAAACTCTACAAAGTGTCTTAAAAAAAAACAAACAAAAACTTAGAATTTTGACAGTATGTACTTGAAGGTGACAAAGTTTTGTATGTATCTCTGTGCGTTTGTGAATTTTCTTCTTATAACTTAATTTAGGTATAATGTTAAACTTATATTTGAAAAGTTACAAGACTAGTACAAGGGGCATCCATGATTTCTTGACCCAGATTCACCCATTGTTTTCATTTTCCTCCATTTGTTTTTCCTTCCTATCTTCTTGCTTCTCTTTATCTTTTCCTCATGCACATAGACCCACACACTCACATGTTTAAACATGTACATTTTTTTCTTAACTATTTGAGACCAAGATGGAGATTTCAGGAGTCTTACTGCTAATACTTCTATGTCTATTTTTTAAGAACAAGCCATTCTCCTAAATAATTACATATAGATATCAAAACGATAAAATTCAACATCAATATAACATTATTATTGAATCCATAGTCCCTTTTAAAACTCCATCAATTGTTTCAGTACTGTTCTCTTATAACATCCCCCAACCCTAGTCCAGAATCCAATCCAAGGTGACACATTGCATTTAAATGGGAATGTTTCTCAACTTCCTTTGCATTTTTGAAGAATTCAAACCTGCTATTTAGTAGCATTTTTATATAAGTTTTGTGTGGTGCTTCCTCATGCAATCCTAGCTCTGCATTTTTGGCAGGAATACCACAGAAGTGGTGGTAAGTCTCAGGCGTGTCAGGAGGTTTGTCCCTTAATTGATTTGTCCCTTAATTGGTGATGTTGGCTCAGATCATTTGATTCATATGTAGTCCATCTATTTCTCTATTTAACTAGAGACCTGGTGCATGGATTTGTGCACTGGTGGGGTCTCTTGGCATGGCCTGCGGAGATCTGGGAAGGAACCGCTCCTACTCATCCTGGTCCTGTTCATCCTGGTCATTTGAGCAGTGCTCCTACTGTGGGAGTGCACTGACCACCAGGGGGCAGCTCCTGCGTTGGGTGTCTGTCCCCTGGTGGTCAGTGTGTGTCAACTGGTCAAATGGTTATTAGGTTGTTCAGTTGTTTAGGCTTTTATATATATAGAAAATAATTTTGCGGAGAGATACCTTGAGGCTATGGAAATAGCCTGTTCCTCTTCAAATTTTCACCAACTAGTTTTAACAACCATGATGGCTTGCTAATTCTTATTTTGTCTGTATTTATTAGTGGGCATTCTGCTGCTAGGACAAGCTTTCACTTCTCCCCTATTTACTTATTCATTTATTTGTTTGCTTTAGTATGGGCTTGTTGGTTTTTATTATGTTCAGTGGGATAGTTATTTACTGTTATTATTTATTTTGATACTTATATTGGCACAGATTTGTTAAACAGACCCCTGGTCAGTTTGATAAATCCTCATCATTCTTTGAGCTCTTCATTATGTTCTGGCACAACATGATGTTCCAGATTCATTTTATATTTTCTCTGCCCCAGTTCTGGAATTGACATTTCTTCAAGAAATCCTGGTTTCTTTTCATGAAGAATGGTATTTAGAAACCAAGGTGTGTGTGTGTGAGAGAGAGAGAGATTTAAAGGGAACTGTTATAGAATATTACATTTACTAAATCATTGTGTATTGTACATATGAGTGTTTGTGTGTGCATGTGTGTGTCTTTAATGTTACAAGTTTCAAACAGAAGAGCATTTATTTTACATGTAATAATCATAAGTTTTGACAAGAAAGAAATACATTTTTCATTTCACAGTAAATGGCATTACGCAGTTTTGAGTACTAAATCATCTTGACATTTATGAAGGAGCAAATGGAAAGTGGGGAACTGAGTGTGTTAGGTATAAAGCTATCTTTAACGGTTCTATTAAAAAGCAGAGATTTATTTTCCATCTGTGATCTGAATGTGCCTGTTTGTGCTCTCCTCATGGCAGTGGAGTTCCTGTGGAGCCACACGACGGAGAGCATGTGCGTTGGCTACATGTCAGCCCAGGACGGGAAAGCCAAGGTAAGCGGGGAAACGGGTCGTAGCCTGAACACCTTGCAACCATCCCAGGAGCCTCTGACAGGCCGAGTCCACACAATGGATTTTCTCAGCCTCTCCTGGGCAGTAGCTCCATGATCTTTATGAGAATGTGATTAAGAACAGTTGATGATTCCAAAGAAAAACAGCAGCTCTTTCATGCTTTTGATGATGAAGCAGGGAGGTTAGGAACAACGTTTTTTCCATCTTGTTCTTTGTCCATTGTCAATGATTGGAAAAGAGGAAACTGGGATTGAGAAGAGAAAATGAGAGTGAAGCTGATGGACTGTCAGGGCTGGTGGTTTTGCAGGGAGGGTTGGAATAGGTAGAGGAAACCAAGGTAAGGAAAGCCAAGCGCCTGGACTGCACTCTGCACGCATGAGGGAGGGCCTGGCTGACGTGCTGATACGTGCGACCTGGTCAGGACCCAGTGTGCCCCACATGCCCTGGCCTAGCAGCCCCGTGGGCAGAGGCTGAGGTCTGCATCCCGAGTGACACATGCCCGTGGCACACGGCCCTCTGTGAGTCACCACAATCACACGGACGTCCACGCAGCACCTCCTGAGTGGCTTGGCTTCTCCACACTCACGAGGCCTAAGCCTGGGAATAAGAAACATCATTTGTGGATTTTATTTTAGACTTGGCCTCTGGTTCTTCTCGTTCATAAAACTTTTAGAGTCAGCTGTGGCACACGATGTTTCCTTGGCATTCAGGTGCCTCATTTGCAAAGCTGTGAAGTTGGGCAGCCTCTATTTTAAAGGACATGATGTATTTAGCACATTTGGAAACATAACTAAGGAAAATTTGGGTATAAACTGTCTGATATAGATGAAATTATTGGCAGGGTAAGGGTACATGTAAGAAAGAATAGTTTATTGCGTATTTATCGTGTGATACCCATCCAGACTGGCCTCTGCGGTACCCAGCAAGCTGGCGGCACCGCGGGCTTCTGTGAGCCAAGTGGGCAGGAGCACCTCAGACAACGTTGTCTCAGCCCTGCAGCTCTCACTCAGCACCCCTTCTCGGCATCACCCTCACCTGACACAAGACTTCTATGCATTAGTGGGCTTATATCTTAAGAGAGTGCATAAAGATTGCTTTATTTCATAGTGTTTAGAGAAGGGAATTGTAACTTCCCATTTAAAAGATGATTTACAGGTTTAGAGGAACACGAATAGAATTTTCTGTGATGATGGAGATGTTTTATAATAATATTATGTTGTCCGATAGGATAGCCACTAGCCACATGTGGCTATTAAGCACTTGAAATGTAGGTAGTATGCCTGAGGAACAAAGTTTTATATTTTCCTTACCTTAAATTGAAATAACCATATGTGGCTAGTGGCTACTATATTGAATAGCACAGGTGTAAGAGTCAGTGGAGAAATGATTATTCAAATAAGTGTCTTCAGAGCATTCTTTTTCCTCCCAATGGCAAAATGGTTCCCAAATACAAAATGTCTGGTAAGCCACAAGAATCCTTGCACAAGAATGGCTTGTAGCCATTTATGTTTCTCTTATCCCTTACAAATTGACTGTCATCTAAAATTGCCTTTTCACAAAGGAACCTCATGGGAGATAGACTTCAGTACAGAAGCCAGTCTGGTGGGGTACGATCGTGTTACCAAGACCCATGTAAAGAAACGTTCTCATTATCCCTGCTAGTGGCCGGTGGAGACACCTCAGTTTCACCTGAAATATGTGTGGTAGAAAGAGGGAGAGGACCGCACTGAGCCAGAGATGTTTGGCCTCCAGTTGCCTTGCTTGACATCTGGTGGACGTGGCTTTCATATTGCTGGTAAATTCTCCAGCGGCTAGTCTTGATTAGCCCAAGAGATACAGCTGCTCTTCTTGCCTCACTTGTAAATTATGTTTTTGACCTTCTTTGCAGAGAGTTAATCCCTCTTCCTTTCTTCCTCCTTTGAGCCTATGGCTACAAATGCTTTTTTTTTAAACAAACAAACAAACAAACAAACAAACCCCAAACACTAATGCTTTGGCTATTGAATTCTATTGATCAAAAAAGCCACCTCTTTCATACAGGCTGGAATTTTATTGTATTGCAAGTAAGACAGAGTCATAGATGAGAAACTGGGCTCAAAAGAGAAAGGGGCTATAACAAAGTTCATGTTCTTTTTAAGAGCGTAAGCCTGTGGCCTTCCCCTACCCCCACCTCGTTTCCTGACTTCCATGAAAGAATTGTTGAATTAGTGGCATAACTATTTGGCAGAATGACTGGTTTGTAAAATTTCCTTTCACATAGTGTTGAAAACCATGGTTGTGAAATGAAAAAAGAAGGCATCTTTAAAAACTAAAAAAAAACTAAAAAAAAAAAAAAAAAATTAAATTTAGAAACTATTTCAAAATGTGTTTTTTTGTTTTGTTTTGTTATTTTTTTTTTATTTGCCCTGCTTTCCAAATATTGCCTTCTTTGTGCTTGTTACCAAACTCAGAAACTAAAACCACAGGGCATTTGGACATTTTAACAAGCTAACTATGTTTAATCTAAGTTAAGGCCTTGAATTAGAGTTCACCTCAAAATCATACTGCTTAAAAAGGCTGAATAGTAATCAATATCATTTTAACCAAAATTCATGTATAATTTAAATAAAAAAGAGGCAGGTTCTTTTACAAGTTTATTTTCCTTTAAAAAGAATGTTCTTTCAATTATATCATTTAATTTCTAAAGCATTCTATAGCCCAAGTTAAAGAGATTTCTTTTCATTGAATAAAAATAAGGGCATTAATAACAGTTGGAAAGCAGTTAATGAATAGTTAATGAATATTTTTTAATAAACACCCAGTATACATGGACTACATGCCTGGGATAAGGCATGTGGACTACAGTAATAAAAACAGATGTTAAAACTGGCATGGAACTTACTCAAGTATAGTAAGTGAAACCTAGATTTATTTTACTATGTAGAGGTCACTTTTTATAGCAGTAGTGAACATACTATTATAAAAATTAATCCTTGGGGAGGAACAAGCTATTTTGTGGTCTTAAAGTATCTCCTCATAGATTTCTTATTAGTTGCTAGGAAGAATAATAGTAGTTTATACTGGGAAAACCAGGCAACAACTCGACTATGTGGTCAAAATCAGTATCATCAGGAAGGGGCCGGTAGACTTCCCGTGCCTCTGGGTGTGATAACCTGAGAAGACACAACATCGCTCATGCAGTAACCCGTCTGCAAGTGTATAACCTGGATCTAATCACAAGGAAGCAAGATCTATATGAGGAACGTTTTATGAAGAAAGAAAAAAAGGAGTCTATACAGTTGACTTTGAATATGGGTGTAAACTGTGCAGTCCACTTATATGTGAATTAAAAAAAAAATACTATAAATGTATCTTCTCTTTCTTATAATTTGCCTAACTACATTTTCTTTTCTGTGGCTTACGTTATTGTAAGCTATAGTATGTAACATATATAACATACAAAATATATGTTAATCGATTATGTTACTGGTAAAGCTTCTTTGGTAAGGTCATAAATAAGCTATTAGTAGTTAAGTTTTTGGGGAATCAATGTTATGCAAAAGTTTTTGACTTCATGGGAGGTCAGTGCCTTAACCACCATGTTACCCAAGAGTCAACTGTATTCTTAAAAAAATGTCAATGTCATAAAAGCAAAGGCTGCAGAAAAGTTCTAGATTAAACAATACTAAAGAGTGTGATAGCTAAATGTAATAACTAATCCTAGACTGCATCCTATATAGCAGGGGGGGAAATACATTATTAGGTTAATTTACAGAATTAGAATATGAAAGGTAAAAAGTGTTGTATTATTGTTAAATTTGTTATAGCTATACTGTGTTATGTAAGGTAATATCCCTACTCTTAGGAAATACAAACTGAAATATCTAGGAGAGCCAGTATTTTCATGATGGTTCAGAAAAAAAAAATTATGTGGATGGATGGATAGATAGATAGATAGCAAATTACAAAGCAAATGGAACAAAATGGAACCTGGGTAATGGATGTATGGTTGATCCTTGAACTAGTCTATAAGTTTGAAGTTATTTCCAAATAAAAAGTTAAATATTACCCTTGGGTATTATGACACATTTGATTAGTCCATTGGGCCTTGCAGTTGAAGTGAATAAGTATTGGAATGGGTGTGGTGCCAGGAAGTTGGAACCTCCACTCTGCGCACTGAGAGACTGGCTTTGTATGATCACTTTGCCTCTCTGCTTCTCAGAGAACTCATCTGGAAAATGAGAATTAAAATACCTCACCTTACCTTTTAAGTCCTTCCTGGGATAAGGCATGTGGTAACAAGGAAGCAAAATCTTATTTGTCTGAATATGGATGACTGGACCCCCCATTAAGTTATTCATATCTTATGGATATATTGTCTATATTATGGGTATTGTATACATTATGTCCATCTACCCCTAGATACTTGCTTCCAATCTAAAATTCAAAATTCTACATGCTAGATTACATAAGCAGATAATTGCTATTCAGTTTTTTAGTAGGATTTTTATGACCCCAATGCAGTATCTACCATGTTTTGTTTTTATGAAGATAGTTTCTAGTGCTTTATGAAAATTCTTAATAAATATTTGTTTTGAAGGATAGCACAGATGAAATTTCTGAGAGTTTTTTGGTAGTCTTAACTCATCTCTCAAATAAAGATAGAAGACTTAAGGATGCGGACATATTTTGCGAAATGCATCATTAGGCAATTTCATAGTTGTCTGAACATCATTGAGTATACTTAAGAAATCTAGATGTTATACTAATAGCCTACTATATATAGGCTATATGGGATAGCCTATTGCATGTTATTGTACAACTTGTTACTGCACTGACTACTCTAAGCAGTTGTAACATAATATTAAATATTTATGTAAACATAGACAAGGTACATTAAAAATTATAATAATAAAAGCATAATATTCTAATTAGATCAGATGACCTTCCAGACGAAGCCAGGGCTACCAGGGAAACTCAGATCCCGGGTGCCAGAGTGCAGC